GGTTTCCTAACACCGCCGATTTCGTCATGTTTGCGGACTTTTACCAACATCTGGGAACGTACGAGAAAGCCCTGAAGAGCGAATTACCAACCAACTACTCGATCGGGATAGTCGAGACTATCGAAGAAGTGAGGAATAGCATATATAAAAAACTGAAGTCGTCGAACTCGCATGCCATGCTGAATGATCGGAAAGGTGTAATTGTAACTTTCTAGATGTGTATAAGAGACAGATATGAAGTCGGTAAACCCGAAAGCGGTGAAAACGTGCCCGTAATTTTACATATTCGTTAACCAAGTGGCTGGAAGAATTGAAAATTTGCGATTTCCCGTCGTTGATTTATGGCCAACTCCGACAACGTGGTCCGACTCAGCCCAAACCGATTCATCGGTGGGGTCAGTCTTAAGCCATCATGAGAAATATTAAACACGTTTAATATTCTACTACGCGACTACCCCAGACGCACACAATCGCGTCTGCGTTCAACTCACACAGACCCGACGCGACAACAAATCGCGTCGGGCTGCGTCGGCCGACGCTGTCTGAGTTGGCCTTAACACGAGTCAACGCATGGTCACGGAACAGAGCACGGAACAGGTTGCCATTATAATCTCCAAATCGAATTTGTTTTTGTGCGAGTTTTGAAATTAAATAAACAAAAAAATATATATATATACGATTCGTATTGTCTGATATTTTTCTATGACGTAGTTGTGAGATGCTGTTATAAATTTGTGGACATTTTCACTGCAACATTCACATGTAAACAAAACAGAAATGGAGACACATTGGAGCATCGAATATCACGAGAAGGACGGTAACTTAATCACGAACGTCTACCAACCGAACGAAGACGTGAACGACGTCGCATTCGACGTATCTGTCGTCCGCACTCCAAACGGTCGGGGGTTTTCGATGACCATTAGAGCGGAACGCACGGACGAGAACAGAAAGAAGAGTGGATGGAATCTGGTTTTCGTTGCGAAAGGCGATGCGATCTTGGCCACCGTTCATCGGCCCGACGACGACGACGCAGATGCCATGCTGACGGTATCCGTCGTTCACACGTCAGAGGAGAGAACGTTCGTTAGATCGTTCCGTGCAACGTGCGAGATAGGCGGTCTTCGGATGAACGAGATAAGTTTCCTCATTCCCTATCTGGATCACCAAGGTCCCGAAAGAACGAGCAAGGGAACTACCAAGATATCGGGATTCGTAACGTCGAACGGCGTGCGAAAGACCGATGGCGGGTTGACAACCGATCGGTTGCGATGGACGACGCTCACTCTGGAACAGATCGAACTCGATGACGTGTGCGTTCCGTTGATCTCGAATGATCTCGAAGTCGTGAACGAAGACGATCGGACCTTTGTGGCCGAAACACCTTTCTGGACGAAATAAATATTTAAATAAAAAGGAACCTTTGTCATATTATATTTACGACTATGTCGGGTTGGACGATGAACATCGATGAAACAGACGGTCTCGTGATCGTACGTGTGACACGGCCGAACGAAGATGGTCCAACCAGAGTTGCGATGTTGACCGTTTGCGTCGACCACACCTCTCTGAATGGAGGCTTTGCGGTATCTTTTCAGGCCCGTCGTAAAATCGGCATTTGCGGTTCGAGTACCGTGTACATGGTCGTTCCATTGCAAAGGGCTGCAAATACCGAAAGTTTGGGTACGACCAAGATAGCCGGTGCGGTAACGTGGAACGGTATGCGAAAGACGGAATCCGTCATCCTCAAAGATCAACTGAAATGGACTACACTCAAC